CCAAAACAGAAAATTGGTGGCTTAGAACTAGAGTGTGCATAAATGTGAGAGTTCGTTTATACCAACCGGGCTCATTTGGGAATAGAATGTAAGAAAAGAATAGTTTACTTATTTTTTCATCAAAGCTCTTGGGTCTGTATTGGGCTGAATGTAGATCACAGGTCTGGGTTCAAGTCTCAATTCTGCTATCTGTTAACTAACAAAGTGAGTTTGGCCAAGTCACATATGCAGGGCAATGGGGAACGCTTAGGCTTTGCTATCCACAGACCTAGATCCAGTGGTAGATTTGGCAGTGTTTAACAGCTGCTCCCTGGGAACAAACCAACCAACCAATCAACGCTGGTTTGTAATATTTGCTAATTTCCATGGTGTAAGTGCTCTACCACAGCCAACTTTAAGCTACCTACAATGACCTCATTGAACGAAGAGTTGGAAAGAGATGTGTACAAGCAATATTCTTCAGATAACTCCCCAGGGACTACCAACTGGCTCCAGCCAGCCACTTCCTAGATTCCATTTCTGGGTCCGCCAGTCAGTGTATGGGGCCCAAGGCCAGTTACTTAACTTCTCTGCATCTCCATTTTCTAATTTTTAAAATGTTGACTATAAAAAAATCTTACAGTCAAAGTAGTGATCCATCACTACTTTAACAGAAAAAGATTGGACTTTAACTCTTTTCAGAACTTGATCTGTACCTATTTTCTTTAAAAATGAAAAGACATTTCCAATCTTAAACCATATCTCTCCTCTGCTCAAAGTCTGTTTTTACTTCATTGCATTTTGCACTATATTGAACCGTTCTTTTCTGGATTTCTTTTACCTGTTCCTGCCTTTCATCTCGTGTTTTCAGATTGCTTTCTATTTCTTCATTCCCCATATTTTATTTGATTAATTCAAAGAAATTTGCTCCAAGTTCTGTTAGCATGTTTTTATTACAAAGTCTTTCTCCACTTCTTCCGTAGTAGTAAAAAATTTAGCTGGGCAAAAAGACACAAAGAATAAAGAATATGTTTACCAGGCTCTCTTATATTTATGTATAATTATGGGACTATGTTCTGGTCAATAAAATGTAAATAAAAGTGTTATTTAGCAGCCCTCTAGAACCTCTGGGAGGAAAAGAAAAAAAGTTCATGTTCTTCTTCATCTCTTTCTTCAAGTTACTGCCTGGAACCATCTTAAACAATGAGTCACACATACCTGAGAAACAAGATAGAAAGAACTTCAGTCCTTAACAGTGTGGAGTGCTATAGTGACAATGAAACAGCTGCTTGGACTTTTATGTGTGAAGGAGAAATAAACTTCTACCTCATTTTATAGAAGAAAAAGAAAAAGAAAAACACCAACATAAACAACACCCAACAACAAACTTTATCAGGTGCTTTTGAGGGTAAAGTAGGCACTGAGCAGAGCCTGAAATAGTAGGTCCTCAATACATAGCCATTCCCTGACTTAATGTCTTAATGATTATGCCAGTCTGTCTGTCTGTCTCTCCTGTCCACAGACAAAATCTATGAAAGAACAAGTCTGCATTTGTTCTATTCTCCCTCATTCAACCCACTGGTATCTGGTTTTCACTTCCAGAACTCCTAAAAAATAATTTCTCTGTGATGACCAGCAGTTTTCCCTGACTCCAGTGGACATTTTTCAGTGCTGATTTTATTTGTTTTGTGGCATTTGACATGCTTGACCAGTCCCTCCTTCCGACTTTCTTCCTCTCTTGGATTCAGAGACAGAATGCTGCTGATTCTCACAGGACAACTTTGCTCCTTCCTAGGCTCACAATCTCTGTTTTCTTGTATTGCTTTCTGTTAATGTTAGGGATTTTCCAAGAGCTCATGCTTGCTTTTTCTCTTCTCATATCCCTGATTCCAAGGGGGCAAGCTCACTCATAACCCGGGCTCCAACTCTTACCCGGGCACGGATGACTTAAAAGGCAAGCCTGCATCCCAGACCTCTCCCTGAGTTCCAGGATGGTAATGACTCCTCAATGTATTAGACATTCTTGACATTGCTGCCTCCATATCCCATAGACCACATTATAATCAACATAGATATGACTCAGTTTATCATTTTCCCCACCAGACCTGTCCCTCCTCCTGTGTTGCCTATACAGGATGCACTCACTATTCATCTCATTTCTTAGACTGAAAACCTGGGAGTCATCCTCCTTTCCCTCCCATATTCAGTCCAACAGGCCCATTCTATCTTGTAAATCTATCTGCATTCCATTTCCTTAGCATCCTCTCTAATGCTGCTGTCTTAGTAAAGGCTCCTCAGACCTTCATCCTTTCATTCTTAGATGACTGAAGTAATATACCACCTGATTTCCCTGTCTCTAGTCAATTTCCCTTCTAATCCATACTTCTTTTTGAAGGATTTTTATAAAATACAAATAGATCATGTCATTTTTTTTACACTTCATTAGCTTCCAACACCTCTTGCATAAAGTACAAACTCCACAGAGGGTATAAATTGCTTCTGGTTCATGCCTACCTTTCTGGCCACATCTCCTGCCTCTTGTCTAATTATGACTGTGCTCCAGTGTCATTAAACCATGAACCTTTCCTTCAATAGGCCATGCTTTTTCTTGTCTTTGTCTCTCTGGACAGCCAACCCTTCCCCCCTTTCTTTCTTCAATGATCCACTCAAATCTTCTCTCCTTCCATGAAGCCCTCCTTGAAATCCTCATGACACATTGTGCATAATTCTCTAAAAGTCACTTTTCACACTATTAAAATCATCTATACTTCTTTTCTCCCCCAGCTGAAAGTGACTGAATTGAGGACATTAATGCCATCCGTATCTTATTTACCATTGCATCTTCAATAGCAAGCAGAAAACCGGACCACAAAAATGTTTAGCAAATTGAATGTATCAACTTATAAATGCCTCCTCAGATTTCTCCTCTGCCCCTTTGTGGTGCCAAATGAGATGGGGTGTCAAGATAAGAGCTTTTTAAAAATTGAGAGATAACTGATATATAACATTTTATTAGTTTCAGGTGTACAATGTAATAATTCAATATTTGTACGTATTGCCTAATGATCACCACAATAAGTTTGGTTAACATCCATCATCTCACAGTTACAGTTTTCTTTTTCTTGTGATGAGAACTATTAAGATTTACTCTCTTAGCAACTTTCAAATGCCCAATATAATATTATTAAGGAACAAGAGCTTTTGTACACTGTGAACAAGTTTGGATGGCACACATTTTCAAACTTCATGTTAATTGGAATCATGATTCTCAAAGTGAGAACAAAGCATGTAGAATATTACAAAATATTAATGTCCAAAAAATAATGGGCTTTTCAAGAATGGTAGTTGATTTAAATATATCACGAAGTACTCTGCTTGCTAATTTCATATGTTTAATGTTGGTCACCAATAATTAAAACAATGACATTTGTTTTTAAGTTTTTGATAGTGTATAGGTACCATATATATAGTGTATAGGCAAAAGGCACTACAAAAATAGTAATAGCACAGAGGAAAAAAAATCACGCTAAATATGCATCTACTTGAAAATTCAATAAATGAGTAACATATAAGAAAGTGAACATGCTGTTCCCTTGCAGATGGAAGAATTTACTCATTGTCTATTTAACTTTTTATTTTGGCCTGAGTAAATGCATGTTCAATGTATGCTAAATGTTTGAAAATGGAGGTGCTATTGTTGTTTTAGAACATTTCAAAGAAGCAAAAAGCCAAGTCAATAAAGTAAGCAGCAAGGGACTGAGCTTGCAGAGCAGATGTTTTTTCCGATAATAAATTTAACCTTTTGAGTTGAGGAAAAAAATAACATTGTTCTTCATTACTGGTAACTTTTTGCAAATGAATAAAATATCTCTAACTTTAGGGATGCTCTAATGTCAGAAATGAAAAGTATTCAACTTCATTTTAAAATACTCATTGTCATCTCTACTGATAATTCCATTTTCTGGTCCACTAAGACTATTCTTTACTCAATACTTAAGTGTATTTGAAAGTGTTCTCCTTGATAAAGTTAGAACAATATATATTTAACAGATGGTATCTCCATAGTCTACCTTAGTAAGCCTTCTAATATATCTTTTTCTAAACAATAATTTATGAAGCACCTTTCTTTGTGAGAATTCTTCTTTGTAGTTTATGCTGTGTTGCTTTTTTTTAAAAAAGATTTTATTGGGGAATTGGGGGAGGGGAACAAAGTTGCTGTCGTTTTGTTCTTCAGTCTAGTTGTGGAGGATGTTGCTTCACTGGCACATGTTGGTATTATCATTGCGCTCTTCCCAGGTGAGGCAGATCAGTTGCCGGCCTCTGGCTGGCCGCTCACGGCGACTCTTGGCAGCTCACGCCGGGTGCTGGCCACTCATGCTGGTTGCCAGCCACACATGGTAGCTTATGGCAGCCCACTGCAGCAGGGGCTGCAGCCTACGCCGTCACTGGTGACTCATGGCAGCCCAGCTCCAGGTGGAGCTGTTGTTCACCATCTTAGCTGCAGAGGGCAGTGTCACTGGCCCTCATGTGGGATCCAAACCGGGGCCCTGCTGCTCAGAGCTGGAGTCCCAAGCCAGCTCTTAACCAATGCACCACTCGGCCGGCCCCCTGTGTTGCTTTTTAATATCAAGAATTCTTTGACCCAAAACAGGGATCTTCTGATAAGATAAAAATACTTGAAACTCAATGGAGTTTTTATGTAAAAATCTATGGAATATATATAGTTGGTCATTTGTTTGTTTGTTTGTTTAGGTGAAGAAATTGGGTAATTCAAAAAATCAAGGGCAAATACATAATTGACAATATCAGGAACTTGCCTCCTGATATTTTGTCTATTTATCATATCATCATATTTTTAAGTATTCTTTACCAAATCAAATAGCCAAATTTAGCTTTGATTTTGCTGGCCATGTTATATGAATTTAGCATGGGTTCCCAAGCTCAGTGTTAAGAGGCATATGCTTCACATTGTTTTTCAAAAATGGCTATACTGGCCGGCTTTCGAACGACAGCGACGCAAGATGGCAGCCACCACAGGCTCGGGAGTAAAAGTCCCTCACAATTTCCGACTGTTGGAAGAAGGCCAGAAAGGAGTAGGAGATGGCACAGTTAGCTGGGGTCTAGAAGATGATGAAGACATGACACTTACAAGATGGACAGGGATGATAATAGGGCCTCCAAGAACAATTTATGAAAACCGAATATACAGCCTTAAAATAGAATGTGGACCTAAATACCCAGAAGCACCCCCCTTTGTAAGATTTGTAACAAAAATTAACATGAATGGAGTTAATAGTTCTAATGGAGTGGTGGACCCAAGAGCCATATCAGTGCTAGCAAAATGGCAGAATTCATGTCGCATCAAAGTTGTCCTGCAAGAGCTTCGGCGCCTAATGATGTCTAAAGAAAATAGGAAACTCCCTCAGCCACCAGAAGGACAGTGTTACAGCAATTAATCAAAAAGAAAAACCACAGGCCCTCTCTCTGCCCCCATTCAATTTAAGCAGTCTTCATTTTCCACAGTCGTAAATTTTCTAGATATGTCTTGTAGACCTCAAAGTACTGGAAGGGAAGCTCCTATTCAAAGGCAGTTTATCCTAAGATACTGTAAATGATACTAATTTTTTGTTCATTTGAAATATATAAGTTGTGCTATAAAAAAATGGCTATACTTACCACAGCTTTTCAGAAAATGATATTGGGTGGTGCACATTCTCCTTTGACTTATTTCTGACTTATCAAAATAATCATATTTGAAACCACCACCAAGCCAGAATCGGTGAAAATAACTTTCTCCCCTAAGGAAGCTAAATAGACTATAGGATAGTTTTATTCCACAGTCTTAGCCCCAGTAACTATAGGCTCCATTGAGCAACTCAGTCCAAACTAACTTAGATTACATTTTGGAACGTGATCCATTCAGTTATACAATGAAATGTGAGCCATTTAGGGTGTGTGTGTGTGTGTGTTGATCCACATACATGTAGTAGAGCCATTTCAATAAAGCAATAATGGCAAGTAGAATCATTGACACAAAATTGGAAAGAGCCTTAGGAATGATCCAACCAAACTTTTCATGAATCTCTTCTCAGCATCCCTTACAGGTGATGTTCCAACTTCTGTAAATTTTACTAACATAATCTCATTCTTTCCAGTCCTGGAGAGGTTTCCTTGTTAGAAAGTTGTTTATTAACCTGAGCAAAAGCTTACCTCTGTAACTTTCATCTTAGCAAGATTCTTTAAACAATGATTTAACCAACTTTAGCCACCAAAACACCAGGATCCTGGGAGTCCCTGTTTTAATGGGAAAATATTTGTGTCTATAATATATATATATATATATATATATATATATACATACATATATACATATATATATGTATGTATATATATATACATATATATATACACACACACACATATACATATATATATATGTGTGTATATATATATATATATGTATATATATATATGTATATATATATTTAATTATTTGGTTCCAATCATGATTAGAGCAATAGGATGGTGGTAGATTGAAAAGGTCCAGGACCTAATACTGATCTCCCATAGCTGAGAGATGGACCCCCTATAAATACGAGGGTGTGGGCTGTTTTGTCTAATCCAGCAGGAAGGACACAGAATCTAAGCAGAATGAACAACAAATGATACAAAGAAGTCCAGACAGGAAGTCAGAGCAGGGAGGCCCCCAATTTTCTTGGTGTCTTAGCATATATTTTATCTAAAGATGCATATATTCAGACTAGCATCAAACACTGAATGTGGTGATATTTATGACTCTATTGGCAAAAGTTATATCCCAAGTTTGAAAACTCAGACTATTTATAAATATAGATTTACGAAAATAGATTTCTGTAGTATTTGTGTTCTTTGAAATGATGAGAGCCTAAAAATTTTCCCAATAATTTGAACTCTCTGCATTAGTTATCCTTGACTTCACATTTTCATAAAAAGTTTTTTCACTTTCTCATAAATATCAGACACATTAAAAAGCTGTGAATCAGTTGGGGCAAATTAGCTCCATTAATAAAGGGAATTTCCTTATAACCCTGATCACTAGTGTTCCCTGCCAAAGATGCTGTTGTCTTAAAAAAATTTTTCCAATTGTTGAAAAACATTTTATTAAGCAAGAAACTGAACACAGTAGCAAAGTGACTAGTACTTCGATTTGAAAAAAACGGTTAGGATGGTGGGACACAGAAGAATCAGTGATGAACACAGTTCTTGTCCTGCCTCTGTCTTTAGTCTTTAGTGTCACCTTGGTCACACAGAATATTAGAATCTATGTTATAGAGGAAACTTAAAGTGGCATCTGGTTTAACACAGGCCAATTTTGTTTTTTTCTGAACTATAAAGCTTCTGTAATTAAAGAAGCTAGTACTACAGGATCATAGCAATAGCATTTTAGAAACAGTCTAAATTTTCCCCCGAGGAGCAATAATGGAGGTAAACACATCTCTGAGGAGACCAGACACTTTCTTGCCTCCACTTTTTTTTTTTTTGTATTCATCATCAGACTTTAAAAGATACATAACGAGAATGAAAACAATACCATTTACGAGGGAAATTGTGCAGGTAGTTAAGTTGCCCAGTTGTTGAAGATGAATGCTAAGGTTCGGAAGGAAAAAAGACACAGGGAGTAAGCTGTTTACACACTTTTAGATTAATATAGATTTGTGTCTTCTATTCACTACATTGATTGTTTGGAAACACACATAATGTCTTGCTACCAGACAAAACACGAAGCTGAGAGAAGATAGTGGTTGGGAACAATGTGTCCTTATGTTGGCAGCTCTCACACATCACAGAATAATAGGTTGGTGGAGACTTGGGAAGTGTCATGGGCATATGTACGTATGTCAAATTTCTACCATTATTGCCAATTCCTGGGTACTGGGAGCTGGGAGACTGCTCCTATGCAAAGATTTACTTAGTAAATGAAAATCTACCTTATCTCACGACTTTAAGCCAAAAGGCACGTAATGAAGCTATGTAAAAACATTGTTTCAATGAGTTAGCAAATATTGACTCCTACTATATGCAACAGCACTGTGCCAAAGCAGCATTCATTTCTAGATACATATTAGAATTTAGAAATGGGAAAATTCTTAAAATTCCTCCACAATATAAAGATCCTTCTCAGTTAAGTAGTTAACACTGTCCTGAAAAACATCAACTACAGACATGGCTTTAAGCAGAATAACTGTAATTCATAGGTATTTGAGAAAACAAAGTGGTTGTCAACTATTACAACCTCCATATTTTAAAATTGGTAGTTGCAAGACTTACCTTTGTAGGTAATCAGGAAAAAAATTAAATAACATTTTATCTGATTTTCTTTTGACTAGAATGATAACATGAAAAGGAAATAATTGATGGATAGGAAAGTGAAAAAGCTAAATGTAATAATTTATTTTAATTCATTTAATATCAATCAATTCAAAGACCACCAAGTGTTTCTTTGAAAATTAAACTGCAAATAGATTTTTTTTAAATTGGAAATAAAAGCAGGAAATAGGGTTGGAACTAATCACTCAAAAATCTTACCTGCAGTTGATTTTTGTTCACTTTTCTTCTCCACTCTCCCTGAAATGAGAAGTGGCAGATCAGTTGCAGTGTGGGGCCGTAAGAATATGATGTAAGCAAGATGAAAGCCCAGGCTATAGCAATTTCCAAACTAGTCACTACTTCAGCCACGTCCAGCATGCTTCCAGGGATGGCTGGGCACAGTTGAAATGAATGGAAAATGCTCCCAAGTCAATTTATGGAAGTCAAAAATAAATGAGCATGCATTTAATATGCTGTTGGGTTTTTAAAAAAATCTTGTAAGACTCACTTCCTCAACAATAAGCCGACAAGGTGCAAATCTCCATAGAACAAACCGTGGGAAAAACATCTGAATAAAATGAGACCAAGGCCTCTTACAACCTACTTGAAAAGATAAAGGACAGACAATACAACACAAAATGAGATGTGCCCCAAAAGGTACCAAATGTTTAGCAATATGAAAGGAGGAAGCAATTATTTTAAGAAATGAAGTTATAAAGTGGCGTTTGGTTTGGACCTGGAGAGATACATATGACTTGGAGAATTTGTAATAAGGAAAAGATTGATTCTTGGCAAAGGAGATAGTATGGGCTATGTAGGACAAGGCTGTCTGAGCAGGAAGAGTCACGTTTACAGCTTGCTTTAGGAACTTCAACACTAGTAGCTGTGTAAGGAAGAGGGCTCTCCTAGAGTTTGGGCAAGCGGTATAGCCTGATAATGGCAGTGGGAGTGGAAAGAAGGAAAGTGATGGATACAAGAGATGGCAGGAAGGCAGAATTTACAGGGCCCAGGGATTTACAAAACGTGAAGGGCAAAGGGAGGAGGAAAGGTCAAGATGAATGGTTATCTAGGTGACTTTGGGCATGATGAAGCAATTTGGGGAAATGGTAAAATGTGGGAATTAGAAATGGCAAGTTCAGTTCTAGACTTACTGAGTTTTAAGTGGTACGGGGACATTGAGCGTGAGTGAGAGATCAGAATTGAAGTTACAGATGCAGAAAATGTCCATCTTGAGAAGGTGGCTAGAGCTGTGGGGGGATGGGAACATGAAGGCAGACAGCACAGAGGATAGTGTCTAGGAATACAAAAACGCTACTTTTGCTTGTGATGTAGGACCATGAGAAGACGAAAAAGAAGCAGAGACCCATGGAGATTAGCAGACCATAGAGTCATGTATCACAGATAAAATTTCAGGAAGTATGGGGGATACCAACAGCATCTGATGATACCAAATTCACGCGGTTGTTGCTAGATTGTGACAGAGCAGTTTCAGCAGAAAGGGGGTGGAGAATACAAGAGAGGCTATGAATGCCTGAAGAGTAGTGGGTGATAAGGAAGATGATGCTGAAGAAATGGCTTCTCATTCATAAAATTTGACAGCATGCAAAAGAGTGAGATAGGACAACAGCTTGAACAGGAGCAACATCAAGGTTTCTGCTAGTCTGTGGGACACTCCAGTGTGTTTACAGGCTTAGATAAGAAACTTTGCATCAGGTCAACGGTGTGTGTAGACACCACTGCTGAGGTAACAGCCTTGGTTTTGTGATGGGTAAGCGAGACCCACCTTTCCAGCCATCACTGTCTTGTCAGCTATCAACATTTCACAGATGAAATCAGTTACTGAGAGTTTGCACAACACATGGAAACTGCATGGAAACGTCAAGGTTTTCTACTAGCCCTTCATGCTTTTAAAAACCCTAAAATATAAGGTGGAAACTACACAGTCGTTCCCTTGTGCAGCTGCCAAAAGTGTAGAATTCATTTAACTGACATCTTGATTAATGGCACATTCTATTCATTTGGGTGATTTCCAGAGGACTTGTTGGATGCAATTTATTTCAATGATTCAAACAGATAAACGACATGAACAGTCCATTTAAAGGCTTCATTCATTACCAAGTGCGATGGGGCACCTTTAAGTTTTTTTAACTGGGCAAGCCACTGTTTACTATCTGATTATAAATTTTTGTATACTAGAGTCCTCATTTTCATGCATTTTAGTCCTGAATTATAAAATGTTTAAAGAAAAATATCGATTTAGAGTGTTTAACTTGTATAAGAATGAGTCAAGTGGACAATGACTGTATTGGAGAGAAATAATATGGTGTGGTAGTCAGGCTCCAAGGTGACCCCAAATATCCTCCTCTTCCCTACTCCTAGTATTCATGTCCTTGTGTAGTCCCCTCCCACACTGAATTAGACTGATTTATGTAACCAATAGGATTTTGCAGAAATGATGGAGTGTGATTTCCGAGGTTAGGCCTTAAAAGATAGTTTGGCTTCCATTTTGCTTTCTTGGATCACTCCCTTTGAGGGAAGCCAGGTTATATGTTGTGAGGACACTCAAGCAGCCCTATGGAGAGCCCTGTGTGGCAAAGTATTGAGGCCTCCTGTCAATAGCCAATGAGGAACTAAGGCCTCCTGGCCAGTGGGCATTAACTTGCCGGGCATATGAGCAACCCATCCCCCACCCTCAGTCAAACCTTCACATGGCTGCAGCTCCGGCTGCCATCTTGACTGCAATTGCATGAGAAACCCTGACCCAGGACCATCCAGTTAGCCACTCCAAAGTTCCCCACAGAAACTGCGAGATCACAAATGTTCATTGTTTTCAGCTGCTAAGTGTTGGTAAATAGTTATACAGAATTAACACTTATTGGATAATTTTATTATGAAAGTTTGGGTTAATTTATCACTTAATATAATACAACTACAGTGATGCTAGTCACGTCAAATCAACTGGTCTCCCTGACTCTCTCACCTGTAAAGTGGGAATCAGGCCTGCTTACCTGGAATGTTGTGAGGATTAAATAATTCCATCTGAAAATAATTCCATAAATAATTCCAAGAGCCAGCAAGAAACGGAGGAAAGTCACACAAAATATTGGTATTCAATGTTTCAGAAGGGAGGCTGGAAGGTACTGCTGATAATGTTTTTTTGACTGAGACCTCAAATATTAATAGTTCTCTGCCCCTGTGTTATATGAAAGGGCTCTGCAAACTGTAGAGGGCTATATAAGTGTTATTTATTAGTTTTATTATGGTATTATTTCTGTTATAGGAATCAACTTAGATTTCTATTCTTGGTAACATATACACTAAACTTCAAATTAGAAAAATAAAAACTGGATTAAATAAAAAGCTATTAACGTGATAAAGGGACATAGAGGTTGCACTGCTTAACTGCGGATGACTCTCTAGGTTTCGTTTTTAGTCTCTTTATCTTGCTCTGTATGGGTGATCTTATCTCTCATTCTCTGTGTTCTCCTTCATGAGAAGAGATGATTCAGAGATTTCTGTCTAGCTCTAAAATCTATCTAGGTTTTAGCCTACTGGAAATCTGTCTGTATCTTCTACCACACTACAACAAATGTCCTTAACTTAAATCATTATATTCCCCTGCAAAACTGCTAATCTTTAGAGTTGTCTTCCTATCTGCTCAGGTACCCAAACATGAAACTTAAGAATCATCAACTCGGTCCTCTCACTCAACCTCCACATCTAATTTGACCCTCAGACCATTACATTCTCTCTCCACAGGGCCTTTCAGGGCTGTCCTCTCCTTTCTCACTGCCATTGCCCTAGGTCATGAACTTGATATTTCTTCTTGGTGTTATTTTCTACAGGCTCCTAATTGATTTCATTGGTTTTATGGATGGTTTTTCCATCCCTCCAGTCTGATCTCTACTAAAAATTAAAATCCACATTTCCTAATATGAAATTTGGCCACGACCTACCTACTCCTGTTACGATCCCTCAAGCGCCATACAGAAAGAACACTTGCAGATTATGCCAGGAATTCGACCTCCCATCCTAACTGCCTCCCTGTTCATGCTGTTCCGGCTTCCTGGAAGGCCCTGCCATGTCATCCCTGCCTATCAGAATCCTGCTTATCCTTTAGAGCTGAGCTCAGAAGCCAGCCCTTCTGTGAAGCATTTGCATTGGGCCACCTCCCCAACTCCCCACTCCCTGCAAAATTGATCTGTGCTCCACCAGCCCTTTATTTATAACTTTGCCATGGCACTGACTCCGGTGTTGGGTTCATAATGAGATGCAGATTTTGGGTTCATAATGAGATGCAGGCTTGTTTTCCCAGCTAGACTGTGACCTTCTTAAGGGCAAGGGGTGTATCCCACACCCCTCCATCTCCTGATGCCTCACGGTGTCTTGAACACAGGTGCTTGGGATGGAGTGGACACATAGAGAGTTATGTAGTATTCTGACCCTCCTTAAAATGCTAGAGAACACGAAGCAAATTTTAGTGCCCCTACCACTGAGTGCAGGTATGACCAAGAACAGAGCTTTTACCAGGCATTTACATTACAACAGACAGCCTAGAAAACTATTATGTTAGAAAAGCGTGTGATAAAATAACAAAGGCCTCTCAGAATAATGAACATGCATTTGCCTGAGTGGTATTTTATTTTAGTACAGATTCTAGTTTAAACACAAAACATTAAAGAATAGTTTGCAATTTACTTCTGTTTAAACCTGGATGCAGCACTCAACCTGTGAGGAATAAAAATGGACCGTAATCTCATAAAAATGGAATTGGCAGGGTAAAACTTTTCTTCTGAGAAAATGTCTTTAATTGAACATTAAAATTCCACATCTCATGACTATTTATTTATACAAACTGAGTCTTGACATTTTAAAAAGCTATTTTAGTCTTGAGGTTGTTGATATTGTTCCATGGAGAAACATTAAATATATATCAATTTATAGCACAGTTCAGGACTTAGGTAAAGAAGCAGTTCCTTCATCACAGTCATTATTTCTGATCTTTTAAAACCGCAGGCACACAAATGGCAATCTAATGTGTCTCACCAATAACGAGTAGCAGCAATTGTATAACAGCCCAGTATTTTATGTCACTTCTAATGAAAAGGAAATTTTGTGTATACATATATACGAATTTATATGTATACATATAACATATAGTATATGTATGCATAGGTACATATATATATATATATATATATACTTACACTACATATATGTATATGTGATATATGTATATATACTGTATTTTTATACTC